AAAAAAATTGTTAGACATATGAGGTTTAGTACGATCTTTCAAGTTTAAGATCTCATACTTTCATCGGTGCTAGTTGTACGTAAGAGCCCCAATAAACTCAAAGTCCATTAGATGCATAGACTTTAGTATTATTGATTTTTAAGAAGGCAGTCAACTTAAAGTCTAGCTACGCCATTGTCTTTATTTCCTTTTTTTTTCCATGTATGTTCATTTGTAGTTTCATTCTTCTTCTATTGGCTTCTTTCCTTTGTTTCTCTTTTCTGTTGCCTCCGTTTTCCAACTTTTGGTGGGAACTTTTGGGTTCCCTTTGTTGGTTCTATTCCCTTCTCTTTGTGGATAATTGTCTATGTTCCCTTGCGGGTTCATCCCTTTGTCCTATGTTCTTATTCTTCAGATCTCGTGATGTTTTGCTCTAAGTGGCAAAGATGGTTGGACTTACCTTAAAGTTTAGCTTGTATTCTCTTTCTCTTATCTTTCTTCTAACTCATTGCTTCACCAAGTAAATCTAGGTGTTTCGAAGATGCAATAGCGCCAGACTTAAACTCGGTTTGAAGATTTTAAAGATAAAGACTATTCCTCATGGTTTGTCAACGAGACAAGGACCGCTCTTCACTCTAGTGTTTATCTTGTATGTTGAAAAGTGGTGGTAGCGTTTGTTTCTTGAGAATTGATAGGAGGTGATCTCGGAGTTCCTCTTGCAGGGTGGGCAGGATCGTTGGTGACATTCTCCAGTTTGGTAGGTCAAATCTTTTCCTCTTTATTGGATCGTTGGGGATGTTGAAGGTCGACGTTGTTGGCGGCCACTGATGATCCCATGAGCCCTCATCTTCAACTGAGTTGGGAATGGCCTCTCCTTGTCTAGGCTTGGAGTTACTTGGGTATGGTTGGGCTTTGGACTGTTATTATGGGCCTTTTGATTGGGTGTTTTTATGCCCTTGTTGTATTATGATGGTGGTATTTTCATTCTAGCTTGTCCATTTGCTTACTTAATGAAACTATTTTCAGGAAGAAAAAAGGTCCCCCTAGGTCCTAACCCTCATACATCAAGGCGGGATGGGATTAGGTGCTAACCCTTATAGGGGTTAGCACCGTGATAACTAGCAAAAATCACTACGAATTATTATAAAATCAATACAACATCTAAACTAAATCACTACTAATTCAAACTAATAATAGTTTTCCCTTTGGTTATGACGGTGCTAACTATTGTACAATTAGCACCGTAGCCGTTCCCCATCAAGGCTATCCCCATTCTATTCTACCCATGCCAACCCAGCAAGTCTCACGTACTAAAATCATCAGATATTAGCATAAGCTCATGCACATAATTTCTTAAAAATCATTTTTTTGTTATGATGTGCAATTTAAAGGGCAATTGAGAAGTTGTTAATGATATTATATGATTCTTCAACAGAGGTCCACCTTCTCTTCTTTCGGAACCGGGCTCTGATACCAATTGATGGACGATCGTTCCATCGCGTAATCGTAACAACTAAACTAAAAGAAACTGAAGTTCCTGCATCTCGCAAACTCCTGGTTGGTTCTATTCCCTTCTCTTTGTGGATAATTGTCTATGGACGGTGCTAATTGTACAATAGTTAGCACCGTCCTAACCAAAGGGAAAACTATTACTAGTTTGAATTAGTAGTGATTTAGTTTAGATGTTGTATTGATTTTATAATAATTCGTAGTGATTTTTGCTAGTTATCACGGTGCTAACCCCTATAAGGGTTAGCACCTAATCCCATCCCGCCTTGATGTATGAGGGTTAGGACCTAGGGGGACCTTTTTTCTTCCTGAAAATAGTTTCATTAAGTAAGCAAATGGACAAGCTAGAATGAAAATACCACCATCATAATACAACAAGGGCATAAAAACACCCAATCAAAGGCCCATAATAACAGTCCAAAGCCCAACCATACCCAAGTAACTCCAAGCCTAGACAAGGAGAGGCCATTCCCAACTCAGTTGAAGATGAGGGCTCATGGGATCATCAGTGGCCGCCAACAACGTCGACCTTCAACATCCCCAACGATCCAATAAAGAGGAAAAGATTTGACCTACCAAACTGGATAATGTCACCAACGATCCTGCCCACCCTGCAAGAGGAACTCCGAGATCACCTCCTATCAATTCTCAAGAAACAAACGCTACCACCACTTTTCAACATACAAGATAAACACTAGAGTGAAGAGCGGTCCTTGTCTCGTTGACAAACCATGAGGAATAGTCTTTATCTTTAAAATCTTCAAACCGAGTTTAAGTCTGGCGCTATTGCATCTTTGAAACACCTAGATTTACTTGGTGAAGCAATGAGTTAGAAGAAAGATAAGAGAAAGAGAATACAAGCTAAACTTTAAGGTAAGTCCAACCATCTTTGCCACTTAGAGCAAAACATCACGAGATCTGAAGAATAAGAACATAGGACAAAGGGATGAACCCGCAAGGGAACATAGACAATTATCCACAAAGAGAAGGGAATAGAACCAACAAAGGGAACCCAAAAGAGAAGGGAATAGAACCAACCAGGAGTTTGCGAGATGCAGGAACTTCAGTTTCTTTTAGTTTAGTTGTTATGATTACGCGATGGAACGATCGTCCATCAATTGGTATCAGAGCCCGGTTTCGAAAGAACCCAGGAGCCGAGCACCATGCCGCCAAAGAAGAACAACACGAGTTCTTCTTCAACAGAGGTCGCCGACGACGCTACATCCATTTCCTGAAATACCACTTATATATAATTCCTTCACATTCTTTAACGGTGTTTTTGGATATACAAGTGTATTTAACCAAAATTATATTGGGAAATGGATATATTTGGCAAAGAACAACTTTGAAACATGGATATAAGTGGTATTTCAGAAAATTTGGATATTATTGGCACAACCGTGAAAGTTTTGGATATACAAGTGTATTAAACCTTAATTCAATTCAATCAAACGGTCAGTGACATGAGTCGTGAGTTAGATGCTAGGATATATAAATGCTATATATATTTATTTGATGGTTCATCCCTAATGCAAAAACTCCTGGCTTTAGTAGTTATGCAATTTGCCCATCATCCATCTCTCAATTCCTCAAAATCTAGCTTTAAATTATCATATCATTTCCCTCCCTGCAGCCATCCCTCCTTTTTAGACAAAGAGAAACGCAAGTTGTTACTGCAACAATTAGTTACCTAGGCCAGGGGCGGAGCCAGGATTCGGAAGTCGGGGGAGCCGAATTTTTTTCATAGGATCCGTCAAATGTTAAAACAATAATAATATATGATATGAACGAAAATTTATTACTGTTATCGTGCATACATTATTTAAGATAATTAAAAAATCTAAACATATGATATGAACTACATTTTTTTAGTATGTTCAAGATAAATAATAAATGACAAGGAAAAAACTAATCTTCCTTTTCAGCTTGTACCATATTATTCTTTGTTGATGTAATGTTGTGGGCAAGAACACTAGGCTTGTAGTGTCCATTTACTCGATGGGAAGGATAGAAAAGGTATGTGGAAAGGACTAGATGGAGTTCAGACCTGAGAGGTGGGTTGCAGAAAGGTCCAAAGGGAACGATATCTTCAACGATGGCGATGGTGTTGATAAGAAGAATTTGAGTACTATTCATGTGCCATCCTACAAGTTTGCAACATTCATGGCTGGGCCAAGGTCAGTGACGGACCCAAAAAATTTTATATAGGGGTATCCTCTTTCGAAAAATAAATAAAAATAAATAATTCTTAAACAAGAAAAATACTCAATTCGCACAAGTTAAAAACAGTCCACGATGTATTTTCATATTCTAAAAAAGTTGTAAAATACATTTGGTGTCTACACTGCTCAACAAATTTGTGTCGATATATCCTACTAGACAATCATTCACGAACTGCCATATATTCTACTACTAAATTTGCTCTTGATGTAACTCAAAACTGAAAAGACACTTTCAACACTTGTCGTACAACCATAAAATCAATACAAATTAAGGGTAGCTTGTAATTAGATTAATTGTTAGGTTTTGAAATAATTAAAGATAGACAATAGATTTTTGCTATTACACAGTGTTTAGAATAGAACAACAAAAAAGTTGTAGCCTAATGGAAATTATATTTATTAATAACAGTAGTGTCCCGTGTTTGAATTACCCAAACTACCACTTATATTCCTATACGCAAACTACAAATGAGAGTAGGATAATCGTTTTTTCAAATTTCAGGGTGTCCCGGACTATTAATTATAATATTTTGTCTATACGCAATTTACCACCGGAAGTTGGATAATCATTTTTCCAAAATTTAGGGGTATCTCGTGACACCCCAAATGCCCATGGGTCCGCCCCTGGCCAAGGTCGTGCTCAGGTAGGAAAACGACATACACACAAATGAAAAACATAACCAGTTATGTTCTGCGTAGGTATAAGATTGATGTGGTGGATGATCAACCCATTGCCCCGCAGCCTTCTATCATGATGTTCATGAGATATGGTCTGAAGGTCAGAGTTTCAAGCAGGACACAATGGAGTAGAACCACTGACCCTATTTATGTGTGGAGATAAGTCATAAAAGAATGTTATAAGTTAATGTGACGAGAAATCAATAATATTTGTAACTCAATATACCTTTTACATGTTGATTGATGCATTATCAATTTCGGCCGTCCATTATCATTATCATTATTATGAGTTTGTTAGTCGGTTTTGATTATTGTTTAGGAATGGTATTAATTATTAAAGTATCTAAGGTAGTTTCTTTAGGATTAAGTTACCGAGTCCTTGTAGGATTCGTCAGAGATTAGGTTTTCCGGTTCTACTATAAATATGTACTTGGTTTCTACGTTTTAATCATCAATCAAAGAAGAATAAACCAGTATTTTCAGTTTCTTTTAGTTTAGTTGTTACGATTACGCGATGGAACGATCGTCCATCAATTGGTATCAGAGCCCGGTTTCGAAAGAACCCAGGAGCTGAGCACCATGCCGCCAAAGAAGAACAACACGAGTTCTTCTTCAACAGAGGTCGCCGACGACGCTACAAGGCAGCAGATACGGGAGGTCCTGGATCGTCTTGTCGAGCACGACCAGTAGCTTCGTGCCATTGGAGATGACCGCAGCGTGATCCTGGCAGATATTGGCTAGCTCAAGGAGTCGCAAAACCTGCTCCAGATCGAGGGTCGCTAGGGGCGAAGGGAGCTTCAGCAGAAGGTTGAGCAGGAATCGGAATCCATGGCGAGGAAGCTTGCGCAAGTATCCGAGTCCATACGCGGGGAGATGCAGGAACTCCGGGACATCATGCGCCGGGGATTCCAGGAGTTTGCGAGGAGCAGATACGGGAGGTGGACCTCTGTTGAAGAAGAGAAGGGAATAGAACCCATCAAATAAATATATATAGCATTTATATATCCTAGCATCTAACTCACGGCTCATGTCACTGACCGTTTGATTGAATTGAATTAAGGTTTAATACACTTGTATATCCAAAACTTTCACGGTTGTGCCAATAATATCCAAATTTTCTGAAATACCACTTATATCCATGTTTCAAAGTTGTTCTTTGCCAAATATATCTGTTTCCCAATATAATTTTGGTTAAATACACTTGTATATCCAAAAACACCGTTAAAGAATGTGAAGGAATTATATATAAGTGGTATTTCAGGAAATTTGGATATTATTGGCGCAACCGTGAAAGTTTTGGATATACAAGTGTATTTAACCTTGAATTAATTACAAATAAGTCAAGGAGTGAGCAACAAGGCAATCACACCAAACCTACATCTTTATCAAGTAATTGAAGTGCCATGAATGATCAACCTAAAGACAGATGTTGAAGAGTTCAGAAATGGATGGATGATGGCCAATTTTGCATCAGACAAAAGGAACCCCGACTGGAAAATGAATGAAGTAACAAGCTGAGTCGAGCCGAGCCAGGGTATGGAAGTTGAGGGTCAAAATAATTTTTTACGTATAAAAAGTTTAAAAAATAAAACAATATAAATTAATTTTTTTATTTTCATAGTTGTACAATGTTTTTCTAGATTATTAGAAGCACTAAAATATTTTATAAACTGAAAATTTCTACAATGATATGTTCAACATTAATAAGTCAATTACCAAAAAAAAACTTATTATTCTTTTTAATTTGTACCATACATGTATTTGCTTATTGTATCTAAAATATGAATGAATGTAAGTACTAATATTTCTTGGGGGTATATCCTTTCTATTGGGGGAGGATATCCTTTCAATATTAAAAATCGTTCTTAAATTATGAATTGAAAACTTGTAGGATTTAATTTATTTAATTTGAAATTATAGAGGACCTATGAAAATAAAGTTGCAAAAATGACTATATTGAGTCTTGAACTAAAAGTAAATTGAAACTAATGAAAAATAATATGAATGGATGATAATTGATTACTTATAATTGGATAATATTTGAATTTCATATTTTCATATTATTTTTACATATATGATTTTTACAAATATTTATAACTTTTTATCGAAAATATTATTAAGAAAATTTAAACATAATTTATTTTTATTTATTAATGATTTTACATGATTGAAAGAAAATAAATAGACATTTTTGTTTCTTTAATTTATGTAAAAGTTAGACTACTTCGTTTCATAATTGAGTCGAAGGTCAATCGATAAAGCAAAAAGATCACAGTCGGAGGTCGTGTATATATCAAACCTGTTTCATGTCATGAGTAGTAATCTTGTTGTGGTTAATAGCCGCAAATAAAATTTGCTCAATTGGTTTAACACGCTAACTAATACAAATTTGGGTGTCATAGGTTGTATGTTCGAGTATTATATATATATAGATTTTAGCTTAGTAAAACATAAATATTATGAGGAATTTTACAATGCTATATAGCATTGGTACTATAAGTTTTTACCTTTATGGTACAACTTGAAATTGTACCTATAATGTTATGGTACAACTTCAGATTGTACCTGTACTTTTTGTACAAATTCTTTTATTGTACAACTTAAACTTGTATCTTATGTAATGGTACAACTTCAAGTTGTAAAGTTGTACCATAATATAATGATACAAATTCCTTTATGGTAAAACCTAAACTTGTACATTTAATATTATGGTACAACTTCAAGTTGTACATTAAAGCACCAATACTATATAGTATAGTAAAAGTGCTCAAATATTACAGGAAAACTAAAATAATAAAGGTTAGATGGAAAATTGTGAAGTTTACATAATTCTGCATCCATTAATGATTGTGTCAGCCGATGGAATAATGTCGTGAAGAAAAAAGAATACTGACTGGAGCATGCCTATAAGCGAGCATAGAAACGACGGTGTTTTATAATTTGGAAACTTTTATTTGGTGCAAAATGCAGCTGGTGCCTTAGTCACGTTTCTTGAACAAATATTTGCTAAAAAATTTTTTTTTGTCAAAAAAAGGGAGCAAAAAGCTCCCTAACACCTGTTACATTAATATTTGCTAATTTTACTTGAAGATAAAAGTGACAGTTTTATATTTGGGGGATTTTAGTGCTATTAATTCTAAAAAAATCCATTAAAAGTTTCTCTCTTCTTCTATTGCCTCTTCATTTAATATCCTCCCCATTTAATATGTTAATAATAACTATCACATATAATTTTGTTGACAAAAGATGAATTCAATACTTATTTGAATTAAACATCTTATGTTATATAACGAGTAAGTAATATAAACAGTCACAAATCTATTAACTTAGTGCAAAACGATCACAAACATTTAATTTTTTACGTGTCAATAAATCAAATTTGAGTGAGTACAAAAAATAGGTCATTCGTTCCATCTCCTTTCAAAATCTATTATTTCCGCACAACGAGCATATCACGTCATTAGAAGAAGATGCGTAGTAAAAGAAGAAGAAGGTGTTTATGACAATTTTGTATATAGGCGTTTACGATTGAAAACACACACATAAACATACAAGTTTTTTTTTACTCAAATGATTAAGTCCATTTATCTGGAAGATGTCACCCTGATTACCCGCCCATCCATCCATCCATCCCAACCTAGTTCATAATCATAATAGATCCCCTTACTCAACTCCTAGTAATTAATTATGTAGGTTTGGTGTGATTGCCTTGTTGTACATACCTAGCTCCCTCCTTCACTTAGAAGAAGATGCGTCACTAGAAGAAGATGCGTAGTAAAAGAAGGGGAAGGTGTTCATTTAGGTGTGTACGGTTGAAAACACACATAAACAAACAAGTTTTTTTTTAACTCAAATCTCTATCCAAATTGTCCTGGTTTTCAGATCCCATCCAAACGACCTCAATCACATGAGTGTGCAATGGGTCAGTTCATATCAGACCGCACCGGATCAAATCAACGTTAGGACCAGATCTAATCGAACCGAATATAAAATGGTCTAGTCTTTGGTACCATGTATTTTATAAATACTGAAGAAAAATTAACCGAATTGACATTTGGATCGAATCAAAAGTATTGTTTGTCCGATTATTAATCCTTAAGATAGCTTTCATTATTGGAACACTGTTCTCTAGAATTTGGTCTAGTATCAGATCTCACACCCCTACCTAATCACTAGCGTCGGCCCCGGCCAGTTGGCCGTAGGTAGTTATGACTAGGGATGGCAATGGGATGGGTTGGGTCGAGTTTTGCCAAACCCAAATCCAAATCCATGGGTTTATCCTTCAAAAAATCCCGGGGTAAAACCCACCAGGTTTGGAAAACTCAAGCCCAACCCAACCCGCTGGGTATCCACGGGTTCATGGGTACCCATGGATTTTTGTGGTAAAAAATTTACAATAACAAGTTCCTATCAAAATAAAATTCAAACATCAATTTCCCTATACAAATTATCCATACATAAAACACCATTCTAGAAAATTCAAACATATCACAATTACACTAAATAAAATCACACAGAATAAGTATAGCGAGAGTTAGATCGGAGGAAATTAGAATTAGGGTAAGATTTAGGGAGAGTAGGGCCACAAAATAAGTGTGAGCGGGTATCCATGGGTCGGGTACCCCTAATCCAAACCCGACCCGATGAATAGTGTACGGGTTTAGATTCAAACTCGGCCCAAAACCCGTTAATGTGGGTTTTACCCGCATTGACTGGGTTGCGTCGGGTAGGGTACCCATGGGTTCGGGTTTTGTTTCCATCCCTAGCTATGAGTGAATTGGTGAGTCTAATCGCTTCTTCTACGTCATCTAGTTACCATTTAGTAATTTAATTTCTTTGCTGAACTATAGCATCAACCCATTACCGGTTGATCGGTAGTCCCGTTTAGTTAGCTTGAATACAAAGTTCTCGAACTCATACACATGTTGCTCCTGTAGTTGGTGATCAAATTGGTTGATTAATATGAAATTTTACATCAATAGAAATTGAGCCAAATTTGTAAATTATTCATGGACATATATCTATCTAATTGAATATTTGACAAAGTCATCACTCACTAAAAAAATTCATGTCTAAAAATATATTATTGATAAATTAAAATTGGCATATTTTAACTTTTAAAACCGTCTGTACTTTTAAAATTAGTTGTTATTTGGAAAACTTGCAAATAACTCCAAGTAAGTAGGAAAGATTCAATTTGTAAAGCACATAATCACTTGGAAGTTTGAGAATTCAAATGCACTGAATCTATATAATCATAACTAGGAAAGATTGATAAACAGGAAAACAAATACATAGTAACATTTCCAATTTAGGATCTGGCCTCATAATATCAACATTGCAAATAAGTTCAATGGTTTCTGCTAACAGACATAAAAAAAAATCACAACAAAACGAAATTTTCAGTACATGATTGTTCACGAAAAGATTCTAAGCATCCAAGAAAAATGGGACTGAGCTTACCTGTTTTTTATCGCCTGATCTCAAGCCATTGAGTTGGCCGATTGTAACTGATGGGATAGCATTAATTTCACTCGAAGCCCGACTCGTTGACTGGTAGAGGGTATTTATATTTAGATCTTGGTCAGGAGAGGCTACTACTTAAAACCTGTAGTGAACATAGGAAAGCCAAGATGCCTGAATAGTCGACCTCATAATATATATTGTTGCTATGTATTCAAGGTTTACAAGAATGACATATATTCAGAAGGGCTATCTATGTAGTCAGTGAAAATGACATGGGAGTTGCTTCCCATAATATATTTACAATCAATCTTAACAATTAGAAAACTAATTGAAAATCCATTTATTTCTAAGCAAATTTGACTATGATGTTTGACATGAATAAACAATAAAACTTGTACCATAAGAAAATAAATGTATTAGAGAGTTCAATTTCCCTATTGGCTAGTAGACATACCAGGCCTAGCAAAATTCTATCTAATACAGCAAAACCAACAGGATGAATAGAAATACAAAATAAAAAACTAACATGCACATATTAGATATATCCCTACTTCTTTCAGAGTTCACTATGGATATAATACACTTTAAACAGATAGGTAATGAAAGAAAGGGTTATGAAATGGGTGAGTTGGCAATGCATCACACCAGGTAGCCTATAACCAAAATGGCCTATTACCAACTCGTATTTCATGAAGAAAAGAAATTAAAATGGGCCATGCAAAATGGGAGGTGACATAATAAACTATAAAAGAGAACTGCCATGTATCCCTTAAACCTACGGTATCTACGCTAGGGATGGCAACTTTGCCCATACCCATGAGTTTCTTACTATCCAATCCAATTGGGTTGGGTATGAAATCCAAATTGATGGATATGGGTAGAGTTTGATGGGTTTGTACCCATACCCATTTACTTTGGGTTCAGTTGTGTTTATATCAAATGGATTTGGGTTTGTACCCATGCCCAAATATAAATTACAGTTTGGTACCCAAACTTAATAGATATGCATATTTAGTACCTAAATTTAATTTTTTTTGCATATAAGTCCTCAAAATATCGATGGAAAATTACGTTTTGGTACCTAAATTTTTTTGGTCTTACATTTTGGTACCTTAACTTTTCAAGTTTTGCAAATAGGTCCAATTTTTGCATGTGTAGTTAAAACACCCTCAAGTAAATGGATATATATATCCAACCCATACCCATTTAGATTAAGGAAGCCCCAAACCCAAACTCATCTATAAACCCCCAAATCCATATGCACTTCACCCATACCCAACCCATTATCAATGGGTTTACTTGGGTTTGGGTATAATTACCCATGGGTGGGTAATTTGCCATCCCTAATCTACGCTCTTTAACTTCAGGGAAATTCACAGCAGAATTCTATCTCATACAGTAAAACCAACACGACATAGGTTATGACATAACAATGACCCAAAAAAGTAAATAATATAATTAGAAAATCAATTCAATTCCTCACATACTTTTGTCGCTTAACTCCAAATTCTCCTATCATTAGCTTCTGAAACTGAAAAGAAAAGACATGCTGAAGCACTTAAATCCCAAACATGAAGAGTCAAAACCCATAACCTTATATGATACAAAATCTTTCTAATATAGGTGTAATCCCTTTCCTGCTTGCCTTGGTGTGGGGTAGGGCAATATGGATTTAGACATCAACAAAAAAAATTGACATTACTGCCTAGCTAAGTACATCTATCTTATATCCAATGCTATTAATCTTTGTAAAAGAGCCTCATGCATTATTTAATTGCCAACATTAGTCACCCATCTAAGACAACAACACATGGACAGCAACAAAAGGGACCAACAAATACTTGCAACTGGTCAGGAATTGTGCTCCAACCCTCGCAGCACCATTAGCACCATCCATAAGAAATGAACAATACATAGTAGGTGTTTGATACCTTGGTCTCTTCAACCGTGACTTGTAGTTAGCACACCAAGCTAAGTGGATAGTGTGTTATCGTCTCATTAAGTAAAGCTGCAAACTTTCCCTCTCAATCTACCACAACACCACAGAGGAATCAAGTACATATTTCAGTAGCAAGGGTCTACCGATTTGGCTTGAAACTCCGTGTAAAGGAATCCTCATCCACCATGAGAAACCAACACAAAGTAATATATCAAGAATAGAAAAGGCAAAGCAATATAAATTCAAAAATAATGCAAAACCCTGAACAAAGAATTAGGACCCTGATCCCATGGGAACTTTGGTTTATTGTATTGTTGGCAGCTTCCGAAGGAACCGCAGTGATAACGATGTAATTGTACATGTTCGCACCCCTAGTTCTTATCCGTTTGCGGGGCGTAGTCGTGTATTTTTTTCCTATTTTACGTCGGGTTGTGCTACTTTGTCATATTTCAGGTCCCAGACGTCGAAGGAAAGGCTAAGCACAAGTTTTGGGGCATTTGGAAGTCATTTGGTCGAGCTGGGGCCAAAGAACGGGTAGGAAGCCTGAAGAGCACGGCCGTGTACACCAAAAAGCACGCCGGTGTTTTTATTGCCGAGAGCTGAACTGATGAGAAGGAAAAACACGGGCGGGAGTGACAGAAAACACGGCCGTGTCCAACTATAGGCACGCCCATGTTTTCCCCAAGATGTGGGCGTGTTTTTAACACGTGGCAAGGGCACTGACGGGCAAAAGCAAAACACGGCCGTGCCCTCAACCGTGTTTTGCCCAGAGTCGACCTTTTTAGGCAGATTTGAGCCAAAGGAGAAGGGTTCTGAGTTTTAGAGAGACAGAGCGATACCTAGAGAGAGAGAAAGTGACGAACCTGAGTCTTCAAGTGTCTTTGATCGATCTCCATCACCATAGGAGTCCGGCTTGAGCTTGGAGAAGATCCGATTGAGCGCCAGAAGCAGATTATCATCCTTCACAGTATGGTTTCCCCATCTGAGCTAGATTTTTCATCTCTCTCTATGGAGTAACTTTCTTATTCACCTGGGTATGAAGAACCCTAGATTTGTATGTTAGGTCTGATTGTATGAACCCAAGTAAAGATTCTATGATTTGATTATATTCAATTGGGGTTTGATTTATTGAATGGCATGAATCCTGATCAAATTCCTGTTGTTTCTGTTTTAACCTAGAAAGAGAATATCTGTCTAGGTTGATAGAGCACCCTTAATTGAAGGTAGTGAACTGGCGACTTTAGTCGAGGAGCCAATTCACTATTTTGTACCGAATTTACTTCGGTAGTGGAGGTTTGGTTCGTTAGGGCCTCAATCTGTTTACTCCGGTGGAGGTTAGTCGCCCGCTGGGGACTTAGATTGAGAGGGTCTGGAGACCTTTAGTCGAGACTTCAGACTGCTTAAGAACCTCTCGCAGTATAACTATCATTAAAACTGAACTTGGTAAATTGCAATCCGGCTTAGCTACAGTCTAGGGGGAACCATATCTGAGTGACCTCTCTCGACTTGAAAACAACCTTCTTGCTTGCTTTGCTTGTTTGCTTGTTTGAACCTGCACTAAAGTTTCACCGCTAAATAATAAGAATTCACTGAGTAGTCATCACATCTAGGACCCGGGTTGACATTAAAACCCAAACCCGATATACTACGCTTTAGGAAGTGGTTACACTTGGCCATTTTCTAGAGTGACAGTAGTAGTGAGTCACGCAGCCGATGATTTCCCTGGTGTTGAATTAAATGTTTCCCATTCTGTGGTAACAACCACAGACCCTGAAGTCAAATGCCTTGATGGCTGCTATAGTTGTTGCTGTTGTTATTGTTGATGTTGGTAGGATGCATAATAGTCATCTGAGTGCATGTATTGCTGTTGTTGATGCTGCTCAATCGAAGCTAACCTATGTGGCTATGTCCATTGATTGCTTGCGTTGATAGTTTGACAAGGAGGAGTTATTGACCTTCAACATGTCTGCTGTATCTACACACTTCTCAACTCTCTTCAACCGTAAATGTTTAGCCAAATCAAAGTCAAATTAGAACTCAAAACATGACTAATTTTATGAAGTTGAAGAGGATAATAATTTTGAAGTATTTTTACCTACAATTTCCTCGGTAGTTTGACATCTTCATCCCCATAATCTCATTCAATTTCAACACCTCATTCATCAACTTGATCAAGCTCAACATATCATTCTCTATTACCTTCTCACCTTTACTAATCATTGATTCAAAAGCTGAATCCTATAACAATGCAAGCAAATTGGACAACCGGATTAGTGTATGCTAATCTAATTATCGGCAATCCATGGAAGAAGATGAAAGAGAACACGTTACATACGCGGCCAACAAATTTGTAGACGTCCAAGCTGATCTCGGAGATGGAATTGGAAGCATTCTCCATCTTGTTCCCGACTCGTTCAATACAAATTGTGGGTGTACTGTTAGTGGGCCGAAACATCTGTCTGGGCTCGTTAAATGTTGCTGTCGCGTTCCACTTCTGCGCGGAAGAAACTTATGTTTCCAAAATTACCCCTCCGTGAAACGCCCTGGAGGCAAAAATTTTGAAATGGGAATCCCGTTTTTCCCTTCCTTGTATTATATTACTAGTCACGGGCCCGACCAGGTGGCCGGATAAATTTCGTCAATCGCATAAACTATAGAATCAATTAGTATGTGAGATAAATGTTTAGTTGGTGGCATAAGAAAATCTAAATTATTCAAATATTGTAAACATTCAAAAGGATTGGTAGCATTAGAGAATTCAAATTATTAAAATATTTGAACCATTTAAGATGAATAGATGATCAACATCATAGTGTTTTCTTACACTCTAACTGACTCGTAGACTTAAAATTCTTTAAGAAAATGAAGACAAACCTCATGCAAAGTAACCAACTACTAAAACATGTTCAAATCATCCTTTTATTTACTCCATTTTAGGGATTACTTCACTTTTTTTTTTACTTGTTTGCATTTACGCCACCACGAGTAACATCATCATCTCTACCAATAACAATGTCTTCATCTCCCTTTGTGAAAACATTTATCCCCACTATCAATCATCTCTTCTTTTTTTCCCTTGCATTTCAATAGCCTCTTTCTGGTTTTCCTACATTTCATTTAGCACTTTAATGATTTTTTTTGCAGATACAAATGATCTATTTTATTGAAATAGAATTTACCTTGTCCAAATAATCAACAACATCTAGGACGTGATCTTGCTCCCCATCACCGGTACTTGTAATCCCTCGCAAATAATTTCTTCTTTTTTCTCAACATCATCATCATCTAGCATTGGATTCATTACCTCCAACTTTAACAGTCTCGTTCTTGTTCCCATGCATTAGAATTATTAATTTAGATTATTGACATTCAAAAGCACAACATATGGTGGGGTTTTATCTAATCGTGAGTGATTAATATATATTGGAGTAAAAATTGTAGCCGGATACAATTGCATGCATGTTAATGAGAGATTAAGTAAAGTTCCATTAGAGTTTGAAGTTATAAATGACATGCATTTATCTACAGATTAAAGAATACAACCACATGTATTTTTTTATGGTATAAGAATTGACGTCTTTAAAAATTGAAGATGCATACAGTTGATAATATGATAGTTAATGGATGATAGACACAATAAAATGCATTACAAAATAAAATATTCCACGGATGCATGTTACAAATAAAATCCATCCAATAGAGAATAACTTAACCTTGTAATTAATACAGATATCCATTTTCACGTGAAATTTACATCGATCAAGTGAAGAAGATCGTTTGCATTATACTCACTTTGTTGCGTTAGAGATAGGGTAATTTGTGAGCTCGATGACGAAATTCAACACCATCCACTCAATTTGTAGGAGATGACCAGTAAATAGAGATCCTCTCATTTTACTGTGGTGTTGGAATAGCCTCTCAGGCAACATTCCAAAAAAATTCACTCCAACATAATCCATAACAACAAAGTCAGCTTTAATTGTTTGTCCACAACTCAAATGTGGTTAATGAATTTGTATAATGATAATAATATATAACATACACAATCATAAAAATTATGTTAATGTAATATAATTTTCCGTTGGTATCCTCAAATAATCAAAGTTATTCAATTACAAATAGAAAAAGTCATCGTATTAAAGCACATTGTTATAATTTTCAACAAAAACATCAATAATTTTCGATGAAAATTACATGCATAGAGCATTATAATAAGCACTTACAAAATACTGAAATAATAGCATCTATTTATTTGAAGACAACAAAAAGCTCGAAATGTATTGTTAAGGGACTTTAGTTAGTCACCTCATGTCCTCATGCCAAACCATATGTCTTGTGTACGTAATCTTTCCTACTGTACCCTTTGTATACTTTTCCAATTATTAAAAAAAAATATTGTTGCATTGGTAGTAGAATCTAAGTTGGAGAGAATTAACATCACGCCATTTGGCATATATATTCACCACCGAACTATAGCAAACCCAACTTCACTTTAATAATGATTGCAAGTTCAGGAGGTCGTTACCTATATGTTTTAATAGAAGTACTCGAGAAGTAATGCATATTATTTTGATTTGAAAGTTTTAAAATTACATACTCGAGAAGTTTTAGTTGGAACTCCTTGCGAGTAACTTTCCAGTGAGTCAAGTAGATGTCAATAAACCCAAATTCTAAATACGTTGGCAACAACATATATGGAATGAAAGTTATAAAAGTTAACTTTTTTATATCCCATCAAATTGAAATAAATTTTAATTGAGAATAGTAATTCAAACCTGAAAGAAATGTCCTATGGTTGCCCTTATTATCAACCTCTATTGTTTGATGCAATTAAACTTGTAAGTTGGTGTGGTTGGAACATCGTTGCATGCTTCGATCTCAGTATTTGATTCAAACTTGATGACTAATTTGTTTGTAATTGGCATGTAACCTCCCGTTGTCAGATTGACCTTGAAGTTCTAGATAGTGTAAACTTTTTAGTCACGAAACAAAGGCTGAAAGTCCTTGATTTTTTCTTTGGACATTTGCACCCAAATATCATTATCCTAAAGAAAAAAGTAGGCATATTAAACTTGAATCCTATAATTGAATTTGTGTGGTTGTTGTTAGTTTACCTTTGAATCAATATATATCATATTGAGACGAAGAATAACATATGTGTTGGGATTAATTGCCAACCATTTCCTCGAAATCCGACATTGAAGAATTCTGTTTCTATCTTGAGTTGTCAAGTCATATATTGATTGGGATGACATATTGACCAACCTCAAGTGAAAACATTAGTCGAACAATTATTTTTTGTTTTAGAATGAATATTAGTCAAACAATCTTAATGTACTATCACATTGGATTAATTAACTCTTTCTAAAATAAGAATCTTAGCATATCTAACAATTGGTATTATTTACGTAGTATGTTAGAACCAAGATTGAAGAACTTTCGCTAGGGATGACAACTACGCACCAATAAACAATTTCATCCAAACCCCAAGTAAACCCATTGATAATGGGTAGGGTATGAGTGAAGTCTACATATGTTTGGGGTTTTATAGATGAATTTAGGTAGGGTACGGGTGTTGCTTCCGTAATCTAAATGGGTATAAGTTCGTATGGATGCCCATTTACTTGAAGCCGTTTTAACTACACATACAAAATTGGATCAATTTGTAAAAAATTAAAAAGTAAAGGTATCAAAATGCAAGTTTCGAAATGTTTAGGTCCTAAAAAGTAAAATTTTCATCGATGATTTAGGTACTCAATCTTAAATATTTTAAGTTTAGGTACCAAACTACAATCTACATATGGGTATGGGTACAAATCCATGGATTAAAATTTAACCCAACCCAAATATGGATATTAGTTTAAACTCATCAAACTCTACCAATTTACCTGGTATTTGGATTTCATACACAATCCAATTGGGTTGAATAAGTAAATAGTACCCATGGATTTGAGAAAAGTTGTTATCCCTAACTGTCGCACTTAAATGCAATAATTTAGACCTCCCACAACCATGAATATACATGAATTGAAAAGATTAATTTCTACTACCAATACATATTAACATGTTATTACGTAAAAAGATGCAAGTAGGTAGTGAATAGGAAAAAAGATACTAAGTTTAGTAAAACATCAACAACGTTTCAATAGGGAGATGCCGGTAAAAGTAATAGAGTAGTTACAATGATAAAGAAAGAATACTTATCTATTCTTCCGATCAATATATAATGATTATTTTTTGTAAAAATAAAACAAAGAAAGAGTACTTGCAATAAATTGTAAGGTAAGAAAAGGGTTAATTGTAAGTTTGGTCACTGTGTTTACAAAAAAGGGTCATGTTTTGTCACTAGAAATATTTAATTTCAATGTTGGTCACTCGAATTAGTAAAACAGTCCACATTTGGTCACCCTCCGTTAGTCTCCATCCAACTCCGTTAACACCATCAGTCATTTGCTCACGTGGCTAACAAAAATGCCGACTCACCCAATTTTAACCTACCACATCATCAAACCCAACCCGCCACATCAGACCAATACTTAACCCAACCCAATACAAACCTAACTCGACCTACCTAAACATCTCGAGTCTCTTGACCCTCTCTCATGTCATGTGATTCCAATTCCTGGAGAGACCACCACCGCCACCAAAAACTTCTCCCTTTTCATTCTCCTTTATAATTCCAACAGCCACAACTCCTTCCACCAATATTTCATTTCACTTTTCTCGATTCATCCCGCCGGTGAACAGCCGGGCCAAAACTACAAACAACATCGGAGCGGGCGAAGAGTACGGTGGTGCGGAGGACGAGATCAGGCTGTAGACGATGTAGCAACGACAGAATGGGGTGTCGAATCGATGAGGGACAGAGAGGTGGAGGAACGCAGCGGAGGACATAGCCGTGAGGCGGAGGGGAGGGAAGGGTCTGGTTCTAGGCAGCGGCAACGCCTGACCAAGAAGCTAAGTTGAGTTTTGGATTAAATCGAATAACACTGGATTTGAAATCCCGACAGCCTGTGGACGACCGTCACCTTGTTCGGGGGGAAAGAGAAGAGGGAAAGAGAGGAACAATTTCTGGAGGCGGAGGGTGAGCAGGATGATGGGGTCGGAGATAGCCACGACGGAGACGATGACGGCTTGTGAGCAGAGCATCGGAGAAGAATGGAAGAGGGGGATCGGTTCATGGGTAGGGTTGGGTTCAAGGGCCCTCTTCCTCCATCAAGGATTTCTTCTCTCTCGAACTGAAACCACAATCGAAAGAAGCAAACCAAGTTGAACAAGATTATGCTCCAACCCACTCCGATTTCCCCGCCAATTCTTCCAAATCAATTTGGTTCCCCTCTTATTCCTCTTCTGCTTCTTCTTCATCTTTGTTGCCGACCCATAATACGGCGGAGGTTG